TTGTAAATGAATTATCCAAGAAAGATATTTATGAATGTGTATATTGCTTAGGTACCTTGTTATATGTCGTCAATAGGTCCCATAAAGATTCCCGAAATCAACCCTATTTTGGTAAAGCCTCTAGCTATACTCACAGAGATCATCGGCATCGACTTCCTCTTCGGTGACGACAATCTTTGGCTTTAGTTTCCTCTTTGACGATATCGAGTGTCGCAATAGAACATAGAAAAATAAAACAATTAAACATTTTTAATAACTAAGGCAATTTAACAAATACATGGCGGTCTTGCTGAATTGAATACATGGTGGAAAAGAGCGAGCAAGAAAGAGAGAAAAAAAAAGGGCTATACAGGAAGAAGTTGAGAGAGATACTAGGGTGGGTCTGGTGGCTGGGTTTACGATGGGAGTGAGGTAAGTCAGGTGAGGAAAGTAGGTAAGAGTCAGGGCTATAGTGGTGCCAGTAGGGTTTGGGCAGTGTGGCAGAAGAGAAATATTAGGGGGGGAGGAAGAAAAGGGGTCAAGTGAAAAGGAGAGAGAGAACAGAGGTGCCCCTGTGGTCTATAATCCTATGTAGATCGCTTGCACGGAAAAGAAAGAGAGGGAGAAGTAGAGGTAGAGGAAGAGGATGGAGTAGAGAATTTTTTAAACCAAAAAGGATAGGAAAAATTGGGTGGATGGTGGAAGAGAGAGAACACGGAGAGTACATGCGGAACATAGTGAGAGATTTAGGCCAGTGAGGCACCACAGATTGAGAGATAGCAGATTCAGATATGAAAACTTCTACCCTATTGCCCACTACGCAGGATTACAGCAGGTATCGTGAGAATGGCGCCAGAGATTGAGAGATAACAGATTTAGATATGGAAACTTCTACCCCACTACGCAGGACCATAGTAGGTACCTCAGTCCTCTCTCTCGCTCTGGCTCTCTCTCCAGAGATTGAGAGATGGTAGATTGAGATATGGAAAATCCTCTACCCCACTGCCCACTATGTAGGACTGCAACAGGCACCTCTATCCTCTCTCTCTAGCTCTTTATCCTCACTTGGCCCCCCTCTTTCCCCTCCCCCCCACCAATATTTCTCTTCGACCCCACTGCCCAAACCTTACGAGCACTACCACAACCCTTACTTCTGACTCTTCTACCACTTTTTTCCGCCTGACTTAGCTCACTCCCACCCATAAACCCAACCAAGTATCTCTCTCGACTCTCTTCCCTCTATACACCTCTCTTCTCTCTCTTTCTCTTTCTTGTTCACTCTCTTCCACCATGTGTTCATTTCAACAAGAACACCATGTATTTATTAAATTGCCTTAGCCATTAAAAAGGTGTAATTATTTTATTTTTCTATGTTTTATCACGACACTCAATGTCGTCGAAGAGAAAACCAAAGCCAAAGATCGTCGCCACCGAAAAGGAAGTCGAAACCGATGATCTTAGCTGAAGGCTTTACCAAAATGGGGTTGATTTCGAGAATCTTTATGGGACCTATTGGCAACATGTAATAAGGTACCTAAGTAATATACACATCATGGATATCCTCCTTGGGCAATTCATTTACGGTTTCAATTATATTTATTTATAATATTCACTTTCATACACATGAATTTACTTGATGTAATTTTTTTTTCAAGCCTTCAGAATCTTGTGAAAACTTAAATTATAAAATGTATCAATATTTATTTGGCGTAAGTTTGATATTTTATCAATTTATGAGTTAGAAAAAATAATTTGATATCTTTGTTATTTGTTATTAGGTAGACTTTGTTTTTGGTTGAGTCTTATTTTGATTTCTTAGGAGACTTAGGGTGCTTAGTTCTAATTGCTAATATTTAAATTAAAGAATTTTTTTGTGGACCACGTACTTTTTGGTAGTTTTGTTACTTTGGAAAGATTGTTTGTTGTTTGTGGTGATTTGATTTTTTGATTGTTAGTTATGTAACTCAACTTTACTTTAAACTTACAAGATAAGTGAGGTTGGTAAACAAGCACAGCAACAAAGTTTGAGAATTATCCAAGGTGTTATATATTTATTTGAGGTATGTTTAATATTTTTTTAATTTGTGAGTTGGAAAAGTTTTTTTTTTTGGTGTTTTTGTTATTTGCCATTGAGTAGTTTTTATTTTTGTTGGAATCTTTGTCGATTTCTTAGGAGGTTTGGGGTGCTTATTTGAGTTATGTCTTTTGTCAATTACTGGGTATTAGATAGTTTTCATTGTGTTCGATGAAGTGGGTTTTGATTATATGTTTTTTTATTAGTGGCACCCGAACTAGAGTTGGGGTTCACCTTTTTGGTTTTGCCCTTGATTAATTGGGCTTTTTTGTTTTCCAGTTGCTTTTTGATTACTCAATGACCATCTTTTATGTTTGTTTCCAGTGTCTTAATTGCCTTTTTTTGTACTATTTTATTTCCAGTTTCAAGGGACATTGTATTTGTGGAATGATCTTAGTTGCGCAAGAGATTATTTTTGGATGTTGATATGGTCCATCCATCACAACTGTGGGGTAAAGTCTTTCAGGCAATATTGATATGTACGATTTAAGTTGCTTGAGGTAGTAATTTGTGCTTGACTTTATTGATTTGATTTTCATTATTATATGTCTTATTTTATGGCTTATTCATAAAAAAATTTGGTCTTTAATGAATTTTAGTTTTTTCATTCATGCGATATAATAAAGTAGAGCTATTTTTGAATCCTAAAAACAACCAAAGACTCACATCATTTTAGGATAAAACAGCATTTCATGTACAATCATGTGAATTATATATCTAAAACTGCAAACAACAAAAACAAAACCAAAAAAACAATTATCTCACTATAATCACCACAATCACAACCAAAAACATAAAAACATTAGCTACTGCTCGTGCCTGAACGCACTTTGTAACACAACAAAATTGCCAAAATAAAAAACCAAACCCACAAAAATTAGCAGACGAGAAAAACTTTGGAAACGAAAAAAAATCATAGCACTCGCAATTACCAATTGAGTTAAACTTAATTGATCATAACATCAAATTGACTATGACATCAATTATTTCAACCCAAATAAATTTTCAAATAATAACTCCATACTCGCGACCATCACACTTACTCATTTCAATTAGTATAATATCACATATAAGAAAATTATTTGTACCAAATCCAATATTATTTTTCTTCATGGGACAATAAAAAATTCCAAGCAACAAAAAGATATATTCATTATGTGAAAAGAAAAAAAAAAAAAAAACACTACAGCTCAAAGATGAAAAGGGGATTTAAAACTAACAGACTGTTATAAATTCTAGAACTAACGAACCCCAAACATACTTGAACCTAACTCCATATAAAAAAATATTAACATAACCACATCATTATTAAATAATATACGAACTGCTATGTAAGAGCACCCTGAGCTCACTGGCCATACATTAATTACTCTGGCCCAAGTTGAAGAGAGAGTAATAAGATTTGGCAGAGCAACCTATTAAAAAGTAAATAAGCAAGTGTATTAAGTATGTGCAAGAAGATTGAGTGTCCCATTAAGTATATACCATAATTACTTCGAGAAGGTAGATTATCATTAAGCATGTCATGCCCCATTAAAAATTGATTGATAAGTATATGTATTCGCTAGTACTATTTTTTTGTGTAACATGGTGGTGTGCATAAGAAGCAAGTGTTCAAGAGATCTCAACGTATCAAACAATATCAGGATCAAATAAATACTTAAAAGTGAAAATGCAAAGATATAAAGGTCAAACATAGATTCATCAACTAATAGATCATCGGCAATCAAAGGAAGCTTAATTGAATCAAAAGTGAAAAAAAAAATCATTAGGGACATGAGGACACCAAGTTAAGAAATCAAGAGCACCAAATTGAAATTAAAAAATCAAGAGCACAATCACAGGCACAAAGGGTACCCCCCTTTGTGCCATGAGAATCAATGTCCCAAGCCAATCACAGGTTGTTGCATCGTTGCTACCTCTCGCGCCCTCACTATTCGTTGACTTGTTTAAAAAAATGCATTCTTCAAAAAGACAAATATCCATGGGTAAGTATCAATAACCATTGTCAAACTTTACAACAATGTCATGGTTAAGCATGACTCACTCCACCAACTTCTCAAATTCAATAGCTTTATGTATATCAAATACTCTATATAATAATCACCACATTTTCAACCCATTGCTAACATTGCATACTTCTTCCAGAAATTTTAAAATGTCAGACCACGATCATCTTTCTTCTTAAGGAAATGATTACTACATGATGTTGGTGAAGAGAAACCCACACCCTCAAGAGAGTGTTGCCATCTTTATTGAGTCCAAGACATATCATTTGGAAAAAAAAAGAGAGAATCCCTAAAACACTATGCCCATGTATATATTCTAAAAAAACCCAAAACATAGGTGGAAAATATATTAGAACTTAATCAACTGAAATTTCACAAATAAATTTAATGAGTCTCTCAAAAAAAAAACTCCACAAATAGGGAGAGCTTCAAAGATAAAAGTACCCGTCACTAAGAACATAATTAGTAATCTATAATTGTCACTCTCATAACTATTATTATGCTATTTGTTCCTAAGTAAATACTTACAGCTTCTGCCACTATTTTTCACTTGTACGCACCAGCTTTACCAATATGATCCATAGAGACGGTTAACACTATAAACTATAGTTTTTAAACCTGGCCCGGACATAGACCCATAGAAGAGACCGGGTCAATGGGCTATTGGTGCAATTGTTGGGTCACTAGTCAAACCGATAATTTAACATAAAATATAAAAAATAATAACTAATGATAATGAATATGCTAAAATTGCAAACTCAATCATCTACCAGAATCCACACAGATGAAAATAATTAAAATCCATACTACAAATTGAATGTTCAACTTAGTTTGACTAGCAAAATGACCTCAAGACTCGTGTATGAGGATGGGTTTTCTTTTGGAATCTCAAAGACAAAGTCTAAACAGGGCATTAGTAAGAACCATAAGGTCAATACTTGATTGCACTCTCAGATCCAACTACCGTTAGCAGTGAAATAGCTGAGATCCTTGCTCTATGGAAAGCCAGTAAAGTCATACCAGGTTTTCTTATCTTAAGGAGAAACTTTTGGTCATTACAGGCTGGGTTGTTCAAAAGAACCATGAAAAGAAACCTTGAGAATGAGAGTGATTGTGTGTGCTCAAATGAGGCTGGGTTGTCAGTACGTTTGCTCAAATGATGTTCCATGATATCCATATCCGTCGAAAAACTGCAATATCATAGCCAATAAAGTAAAAAATGACAATGCAAAAACTAGTAAGAAGCATGAAAAAATGATGAGTATATAATATAGCCCACAGAATTCAAGAATATATTGGATGGATGAGACTACAAACCAACACCATCAATCAATAATTTCACAGTAAAATGTGCTAATGTAGGATCAAAACCACTAAAAACTCAACAGCGATTGGAAAATAAGTTGCAATTCAACTCAATAACAATATCAATTTACAGCCTATGCATTTTTAATCGACTGTCATTTTATCCATACATTTTGAATCAAGAATCAAGTAACACAATATAAAACTCGCCGATAAGTACAGAATTATCAAAAAGGTAACTTACAGAAGAACAAAAGACAGACATAAGATTCAGTAGAGTCTAGAAAATATGGAACTACAAACAAAAATAACTGGCCAAAAAATTAAAAGCCATAATCATGACCCATACCGTGTTTTTAGACAGTTGGGATTGTCTCCGAGCAAAACCGTCTCAGCTTCCTATTGAGAGAAGAAAATAGAAATTAAACATATATATAAATGGGCGTATGAATTCATCCATAACACCACCAAATTTCACTAAATTTCACCAATAAATAATAAATAAGAAAAAGCATAAAATAACCACAATAGAAGTGAGATGTTCCACAGACATAGTTTAGGTGTAAATACAAGTACGGCAGATATGAAGTCAATAGAACTTACTTTTACTGCCGAGCTGAAGAGATGAAAGATTAGAGTCAAATGAGCCATGTAGATGGCATTTGATTAACGTTTTTAATTTAAAAAAGGAACTTGGTTCTGGTTTTTTTTTTTGTGAAAATAAAAAATGGAAAAAAATATTTGGTTTCTATTTTTGTTCAGAAAAAATGAAAATGGAAACAAAAAACCTGTTTGAAACTATTTTTATTGGTGTTGTAAATAATTACCTACTGCTATATCTATTATTAATTTACTAAAGACCAAAAAGTAGTAGCATACCTTCAAACATCCAACACCATTGATTTATATCCTACTCTGCATCATTACTTAAGCAAAATTCTACGAGACAATACTACTTATAACAAAAAAATACAAAACACAAAACAACAATACATTCATAACATGCAAACATTAAAATATGAATCCATATATAGTCTCATGGTAGATTCTGCCAGTATGAGCACAATTATGCTTATTACTTCCGAGTTGGTATTGACCCAGCCATATGAAACAACCCACATGGTTCAATCCACGTGGAAACCTGCTCATCCATTAAACTCCATAAGAATTGTCTCATTCCATGGGATCACGGTCCATTGATCTTAGTTGATTTAATCTCCATAATTGATAGACTAGCAATTTTCTCAAATGTCCTTATCAATTAGAGAATACCTAATGGTACCACATATACAAACACAGTAAACTCCAACAAGATACTGGTGAATAATGTGCAACAGACCCAACTCATGTAAATAAAAAATGAGGACCACTGAACCATATGTTGCAAAGCAAAGAAACTATACCAATTATGAAAGTAACATGTGACCTGCCAGGGATTACACAATTTTTGAATCGAGCAGCAAACAACAATCAGGAACTCCAATTTCACAAGGAACCAATATAAGCATAAGAGACTGTACTTATCCCTGGAAGTATGAAGTATTACATAATTTATCAGGCCAAATTTTTGCAAAGCAGTATGGTGGAGTGGATCATAGATCAAACAATCAGAAGAATAGCCACAGCTGTTGGCAAGAAGGATGTTAAAGTGTATTAGAATGAAGAGATTTTTGCTTTTCTGTTTTATTTGATCTCTATAGCTGTAAGCATTAATTTGACACAGATGATCTCCAAAAAGTTACCTGGAACGAGAATGATCTTATAGAGGATTTGAGTCCTGCAATTATCATTCGGGCAAGACATGAAACTTTTGTGTGTTCTTATCAAGAGAAGAGTATGATTTCAATTTCATGAAACCAGCAACCATATAACGGAACCAAAAACCACCGACTAGATTTTACCACAAACAAAAAAATGAAAATTGCAAAGTCTGAGAAAAAAAAAATTTATACCATAATCAACTAAAAAGCAAAAACACATCTAGCACCAACCAAATCCATAAACATTGAACAAAAACAGAATTTCACGCAAATAAGATCAACGAGAGTCTTGGACTGCAATTTTGCATATACAACAACTATCGAGGGCGGGCGAGTGACAAAGGATCGATCACCTGAAGACGAATTTCGGGATCCTATGATCGGGCAATACAGTCAGAAATTCCTGCAAAATTAGTAAAAAAATAGGTTACGGGTTCCACTGATGGGGTGTGCCTGTGTGACAGTGAAAGATAACATTGATAAAAACTTTAAGGACTTGGCTAGGATTAGGGTTTCTAGAGGAGATAGACAGAGAGAGAGAGTTTCAGGTAATGAGATTTGGCGCTGAGAGGAGAATCGGGTAATGAGATTTGGAAACTAGCCGTTCGGGAGAGAGAGAGTACGAGGGTGAAAGAGAGATTTGAAGATGTTTAGATACGGGGCTGAGATAAGAAGGATATTGTGAAGTATGTAATTACATTCCCACCGTAAAAAGATATTCTCTTTATGTGAAAATTAAATTAAATATTACTCTTGAATTTTTCACATTACTTTCCTTAACTATTTAAATCATCTTAAACATAATCGCCCATCATCTTTTTTGATATAAATTGTCAACAGGACAAAATAAAAAAAAAATCAAATCGATTAGACTAATGTGAAACTAATCACATACATTACATTTTAAAGGGATAATATAAACAAATTTCATATTTGGGAGTGACCGGCAATTGACCATAAGTAAGTGAACTAAATCAATTTATTATAGTCCGACGCAAGTAAGTAAGATGAACCTAGTAAAGTGAATTTATAGCACTTCCTTCGAATTTAGCCAAAGATAGGCACATCATTGATACACATTTTTTTATTAATAAACCATGTCACGAGTTTGTCTAAGCAATTCAATCATAATCGATGATGCACAAAATGATTTTGCACACCGTTTGTCAAGTGTAAATAATAAATATAAGAAATAATATAAAGAGATAGAGAGACACAAGCAATTTATAGTGATTTAGTCAACTCGACTTACGTCCAATTTTGAATGACTCTGATCGCTGGGTACTTTATTAACTCAAGGGTGTGGGGAACAGAGAATACAAGTTTTTTTGGGAGAGGAGAGAATCGTGCTCAGGTAAAAAGTGATGCCCCCAAGTGTTGATGGGCGCGTGCAATTTGTAATAGTCCCCTAACAGGTTGAGACTATTTTTCAGCAACGAAGCAACCATTTCGGTGGAGCTCACGACTTCTTCTCAATAGAGGAGGTGGTTGAGAAGTTCTCCATGAGATACGGTCAAAGATAAGGTGAGGGTGGACCGTTTTCTTTTGGGATGCAGGTAAGCCCCCATACTCTCCCTCTTGATGACGTGGCTAAGTAGAGTGTCTGACTAGTCTTGGACTATATTGGGCCTGGTGGATCTTTAATAAGGTTGGGCTCCTCAATTAGGATTTGGACTTTTCTCATAGATTGGGTCATTTGGACTTGATCCATCAATAACTGCCCTGCTATAATCTAGGAATTATCTAGTGAAGAGTAATGTTACATGAACTTTAAAAGTAGATTTAAAAATTATACTCGATAATTATAACCATTGATTTCACTGTGAGTCCTAGCATTTATTGGGACTCACTACCTATTCAATTGTTGAGATTATCAAGTATAATTTTTAAGTCTACTTTTTAAGTTTATATAACATTACTCCCTAGTAAATGGTCTAAAACAAGTATTAAAAAGTTGTCGTGTATACCACTCAACGTATAACTTTCAAAAAAAATATTATTTTTTTTATTTTGGAAGACTAAGAATTCGTATGCCTCCACTTTTCATCCAATAAAAACATTGAACAATGTTTTTTTAATCTAATTTATTGACATAATTTGCTAATATAATTCACTGTGATATTTGGATTCACTGTAAACTTCATCCAACATTAGAACTAGTTGTTGATTTAATGATTCTTATGAAATCATATCATTATGTCAACAATTATGTCAGATTTGTAAGTCCAAATAATATTACTTGAAAACATTATAAACGTAAAATTTATTTAATTTGACAATATATATATTCAAATTAAAATTGCATCATTAATGGTGAGTTTTGAATCTAAATCCCCTCCCTTTTTTTGATGACATGTCTGTAAAACTCGGTAAAAAGAATTAGTATTATTATTATTAAAAATCTTAATTTAAGGGGTAAAATAATAATTAATCATTAAATTATAGGTAAAAAAGTAATTTTAAAAAAAAATAAAATTATACTATATATATAAGTGGAAGACAAAAGTCTTCCACTTTTCTTCTTCTAGTGTTCTGCGTCACGAAAGAGTGAGAGAGAGAAAGGTGAGTATGGTTTTATTTTTTATTTTTTCT